ACTGTCAAAGTTCGATTTTCAAATGTTAGATTTAATTTAGCACAAACATTTGAGAACAAAATATAGTTTAATAATGTAGGATGTGGTAGAAACATTAGATGCACACACTTCACAAACAAATTTCATTATGGATATAGATGCACACACTTCGCAAACAAATTTCATTATGGATATTTGGTTGATGAAACCAAGCATTTCACACACCTTTGCCAACAGAAAGACAAAGCACACAAAACAACAGAGATACCCTAACTGATACTTAACCGATATCCTAGATTTATACATGATTACATTATGCCAGTACTTGCAACCATTACCAAAACATACTAACAGAAATCCTACACCACCACATTTTCGAAACCAGAATCCAAGTAGTTACAACCTTCACACTACTAAGCTGCAAGAGAGCTGGCCAGAATATTCACAAAACAACATGTCTATTTCAGTTCACTGATACATCAAAGATCAACAGGATGATTGGGAAGACAAACATGCATCAAAGAAGTCCCCCAAAAGTTCCATGAAGAAGCCATCCAACACAACACCCTGAGAACTTCCGATTTCCCAAACACCTCCAAAAGAGGATTTGACACCTTCAAAAGCTAACTTCAAAGTACCAGCAACAACTCCCTCGAGCTCCAAACGTGATCCTACAAAGTAATATAGACAAACAAAATTTTGTGCATGACAAACCAATCCTGGGCTGGGATTGCACGATAGCAGAACACCGGAATTTTGGATGCAATGTTGTAAGCACACCCAATACCTTATTTCTCGTACAGGAGACGCTTGGCCGAGGATTTCTTGACAGATGCCTGTGGTGAAGCCATGTTCTCAAGCGAGAAGGCTGATGGACTCTGAGCAGGTCCGTCGGAGCTTCCACTTTCAGGTCCCCTAGATCCTGAAGATTCCAGTTTTTCAACCTTCACCTTTGCCAGCGGTGACACCAACCTGGATCATTTGAAAGGAATCAGATTAATCAAAAATAAAAAAGGTCACATTCCAGCACAGTTGCAGAATAATATAGTAACCAAAACGGCTTACAGATTTGCCGACGGGGATGAAGAGGGTGTTGATGTAGATGATGTCTTGCTAATTTTACTCTGAGGAGTTCCAATCTCTTCCCTGACTGCACCCGATGAAGATAATGACTTACCAACCTTACTTTTAGGAGTCCCAAACTCCTTCCCAACTTCACCCGCTGAAGGCAGAGAGGGTTGCTCACACGAACTCATTGAAGCAACAATACCACCCTGCGGCAAAGATGGCCTAATTTCAGGAATTTTTTCATCACCAACAAACCCCAGACGAACAGGGTCTGGTGAGCCTGCAGGAACTCCAAGGATTGGATTCTGAACTCCGAGAACAGCTGACACAGAAGGCTGTTTGGCAGGTACAGAAGAAGCTCTGATGGTAATGGGTTGTGATAAAGTTTGAGTTCCCAAAGGCACATGACCAGCACCCCCCCCCCCAGCGACCAACGGACCTTGATACCGACTGTAAAATGAGACAAGATCCATCAGAAGTTTCCCAGGCAACGTGAAATAAAAACAGCTTAGAAATTCAAGAAATAACCTGAGAGGCTGGCCTGCTGCCTGCCCAATCTGGAAAGTTGGATTGCTGTTCTCAAACAACAGTGGTCCAGAAACCTTTGCCTTGCCCTTGGTCGAACTGGCAAACAACAAAAAGAACCAGTTCTGAACTCACAACCCAAACATCAACAGGAGGTAATCGTCAGGAGACCATCAAAACACTGAAAGGGAAATTTCAAACCTGGATGGAGTAGACACAGAACTGCTCACAGGCAATGATTCAGTTGGTCCAGTCAACATAAGCACTCCACACTGTTCAGTCGCGCCTTGCAAAGCAAGCTGACCCTGGGTTCCATCAGTAATTGTCTGTACTGGAGCAACAACAGTGGGTAGTAGACCCTGATTATCCTGAGGAAGCACTCGGAACACCCTGAACTCTCCAGTGGATACTCCATTCGCACTCATCATAGGAAGCTTGACTTCAAACCTCACAAACTGGCCTATCAAATTACTCAGCTCAGGTGGCAGCTGGCCAGTTCTATGAGGATATCTCTGAGCAAGTACATGGGCAGACGTGAACACCAGATTATTACCAGCTGGCCCAAAAACAATAAAAGGTGCCTCTCCTGTCGAGTCACGCAAGACTAACTGAATCTTGTACCTATATAACACAGGGAACACATTCAGAAGTCTTTATCCTAAAGCAAACCAGGCAAAGAAACATACAACGTTTGCAAAAAAGGAAACACAGTGTATACCCAATAGTAACTTGCTGGTCAGAGATTTCCCAATGATCAGGACACCAATAGTTTCCATTCCTCCATGTAGAACACTTTTTCCTACACATATTACAGGAAGTATAGTACCATGGACTTCGAGACTCAACAGATCTGACAATTCCACCACAACGATGCTTCTCATCCTATTAAATTTTAAAAATAAGATACATTGGTCAAACCAAGACCAGACAAATTTGCACATAATCTGAAGCAACAGACATGATAACAGAGTGAAACATGCATACCACCGAAGCACCAGCACGGTACAAATCATGGAGTTCAAGTATGGTCCTCGTGCGACGGTCAGCATCTGCAAGAGCAGCCTCATGTGTAGCAAACTGAATGGGAAGACCTGCAACAGGATTCCGTGCTCCAGCAAAGCTACAACAGGAGAAAAAAAAACAGATTAGTAACAGAACAAAGAGCAACAAAACTTCAAAGGGCTGATCAACAAACTCACAAAGTAGTCAGACTGTAGGCCTCAGGAATGCGAGGGCTAACAACTATGCGGGTGGCAGAAGAGCTTGAACATGTGTACTCACCTTCTGCAAAACATGAACAAACAGAGGGAACATAAAAATCCCCCACACAATGTTTAACAACCAAAATGGCAAAAAGTACAAACATTACCAATCAAACGGCCAACCATGAGGCTCCCAACCGCAATAATCACAGGCTCAATGGAATCTGCCTGAATCAAAGCAACACTGTCCAGGATCGTGGTTAATTCATTCCAAAGTGTGATCGAAACTCTCTGGCCCCTAAAACAACAAAAAAATTAAGTTAAAAAACAAACCGTGACCGAAAGGAAACCTCAAGGAGCAGGGAAAAAAAACATACTCAGCGTTTTCAAGGACCAAAACTTGTTTTGGAGTGGATCCATGATTGGTAAGTTGATGATCAACCCCACTGATAGAATGGAGGCGCCCAACAACATCTGATGTACAGGGCCAGAAGGAATGATAAACACAAAGAGTGAGAACAAACCAGATATAATACAACAAAATTGAAAGGAATAAAAGCAAACGCACACAGCACCTGAGAGGATGCGATTATCACCAGCACGCTTTGGGAGCTCACTGAATGGCACAGACTCAAAGGATTCGACAGGAAAATCGGCAGCAGGAAGAACACGGGCCTGAAAACTTGTGGTCTTTGACAATTCCATGATAAGATCCAAAGAGCATGCACGATAAAGATTCCTTGCTGCGGCAAGACCAAAAGCCCGAATTATGTAGATAGTCCCAACACGCAGAACACCTTCGAAAGCATTTCCCAGAGAAACATCTGCAATGCTTTGTATGAGCATGCCCTGCATGCAAGCATCAGAGTCCAGGGACAGCGAGTCAACACGAGAACAAAATTGGTAAAAAGGTAAAAAAAAAACGGTTAAAGAGTTAATCTTATAGTACCGTTTGGTCCACCCAGAGACAACGGTGATTGAATACCCTGGATCCATCAGGATTCTTCGAAAACCACATATGAAGCAGACGCAGACGAAGAATAACATCTCTGCTGGGACCCTTGAGATTGCACAACAACACCGCATCCATAATAATCCCAGGTACAGGGCAAGAACCCCGTCGAAGAACCGATGCAGAACAAAAGAAGCCCCTAAACAGCAGACGGATGAGAAGAGAAACAATCAGAACAGGAAAATGTAAGCGAGAGAGAACCCATGAGGTGAGAGAAAACCTCTTAAATACTAAAGTGGAAAAACATAATGGGGAGAGGTTTTCCAAGTAGAGAGAAGCAAACAGTGACAGCCGCCCAAGCGCAGCCCATCCCTGCAAATGATGTGAAACACAATCGATAAGCACGCCCAGGTGAACATTTTTGCTTTCTCAAAGGCCCCTCTCAGCTCAAATTCCAATTGGAAAAAGTGACATGACCTCGATCAATCAACCGAGTAAATCTTCTGAACACTTTCATCATGAGCGAAGACCCCAGGTTTCAGAAGGCACAGCCCCTAAAAGAACATGGCCTTGCCCCAAGCAACATGCAAAACCACTGAGCAACAAAGCCTTCCAGACCCCCACCCACCCATGGCCCACCATCTCCGAGCCTCCCACCCACAAATCCGTCGATCACCTGCAAAGCCCGGCTGAAATCCATCCAATCAAGCAACTAGGCAGGCTCCAGCCACCGAGAGGGCCCTGGTGACCAACGCGTTCATGGACCACAACCGATCCAGCAGACCAAAACAGCTCAACGACCAAGTTCCATCCCAACCGACCCGCCAAACACCCGTCCGATTCCAATGAGCCCCCACCCAACGCCAGCCCACACAGCGCCAGCTTCCGGGTTATAACAGTACATCTTGGTCAGCATGAGCAGTAAAAGCAGTCTGCTTGTGCAGTACCAGGTCCTGCGGTGGGATTTCTTCTTTCAATGAGTGACAGAAACTTGTATAAACAAACACAAATCCAAAAAAAAAACTCAGAAGTGGAACTCAACTGATGATTCACCAAATGATCCGCCTCCATGAGTTGGGGCTTGGGCCAACTCGTTTCTATAGTAAGCCCAGGTACGCGACTTGCGTGACCCACAGCCACAGCCCAACCCACCATCTTTAACTAACGTCACCTAAGGGGCCCGCCCTCCCCGACGAAGAAGGACCGTAGAATTTTACCAGCTTCCACGATTTGTACGGGCATCCCCACCCACGCCCACAGTAAATCTGCCGCCCCGATAACCCAACACCACACCCTACCGGTTCCCGCGAAAACCCGCCGCTGCTGCTGCGGCGATTATACCTTAATTCTCTCTCTCACTCTCTCGAATTAATCCTAATCCAATCGTATTATCAGTTTTCACTTTTCAATTTTTCCATTATGTTTTAATTAATTAATAAATCACCCGCCCTTCCTCCCCAGCCAAATCCCCCTTTTGTTTGTCCTTTTCCTTTCCCCCTCTGATGGCGAGATCCGGCGGCGGACGATGAGCAGGGGCGGCGGAGGAGGAATTCGGACGACGTCGTTCCACAGAAAATCATCATCAGAAACAGCGTGCTTGGTGGTCGGCTGCGTGACGATGAAAGGACTCTTCAAGCCCAGGAGCCGGACACCGGTCGAGCTCGTTCAGCACCTCCGCGAACTCATCCTCTTCGCCCTCCGCAACCCCTCCGATGTCCCCAAAAAGAAGCGCGAAGACAAGGTAAGGTTCCTCTCCTCTCTCTCTCTCCCTCCTTTTCTCGCCCTTTCGATTCTGCAATCAGAATTGCCTTCGGAATCAGACATTAGAATTACAACACCAATCCACGATTGCACTTGTTGCATGCTCATGTTGAGGCTCGATCCGACGTTTGCTGGATCTGCTCCCAATGGGTTGGATTGGCAATTGTAATGTCATTCTGCAATTGTACAGAGCCTGATTCATTCATAAGAATGCGAGACAACAACAACGTACGAAGTGAATCCAAAATTGTTGCGTGTGTTTTTGGGCAGATGGCAGAGCTAGGAAAAACTCTAGTGGAGATAAGGACTATCCTGTTCGGGGAAGGCCAATCCGAGCCCAATGCTGAGGCTTGCTCACAATTGACCCAAGAGTTCTTTCGTGAGGACACAATACGTATCCTCATCGTTTGCATCCCAAAACTCGACCTCGGGGTAAATATTTGTGCCGTTACCTTGTTGCTGAGATTCATCCCTACGAAAAGTTTGATTCTTGTTGTCACAAAATTGTTTGCAGTCTCGTCAGATTGCGGCACGGGTGATTACGAACTTGCAGAAGCAGAAGGTGCAAGGGAGGCTGGTGGCTCCGCAGTACATGGAGAGCAATTTGGATCTTTTGGACATTTTGCTACCTGGGTAAACCTTTTTAATATTGGCTTTTCTATGAAGCAAGACAGTCAATTCGAATCCAGTTTTCATAAACGTGTGATTATTTGGTGCTAAAATGCAAAATGTAATCTTTATCTTTCGTTCACAGTTATGCAGATGACGAGATAGCATTACCATATGGATTAATCGCAAGGGAGCTAATATGCCATCAGGTGGTGGCAAAGTAAGCTCCCGCTGCTGCTGCTGATAACTAACAGATCTGTTTTGATTAACATCAACCGAATTGTGTGTATTGAATCTGAGTCTGTCTTCAGGTATGTCCTCGAATCAGAGCACATGCGCAATTTCTTTGAATACATTCAGATTGAGACATTTGAAATCTCATCGGATGCTCAAGCCACTTTTAAGGTATACTGTCAACTTGTATTATTTAATTCCAAATCTGTTATGGATCTGGAACTGGCCTTTCTTAGTTCATCCAATCCAAGCACAATTCGTTTACCCTTTTTTTTTTTCTTCTCGACTGACATTTCTGATTGTCCCGTTAAAAAAAAAAATCATCATTGCAGGAACTTCTCACAAGACATAAATCAACCGTTGCTGAATTTCTGACCAACAATTTCGACTGGGTAATTAAGCTCAAACTTTTCTTAGATGTTTGAGGAGTTCGGTTAACGTTCCGAATGAGGCGTTTATAGCTAGCTATACACATGGCTAACGTCTCTGTGCTGTGATCCACCAGCATAAATCAACCCAGCAAAATACAATGTTTGAGGTTTTTTCTTAACTAATTAAGCAGTTCATTAACAAACCCATTACGTCTCTCTGCAAACTTCTTCATCCTTTCAGTTCTTTGTGGAATATAATTCAAAGTTGCTAGAATCCAAGGAATACATAACCAGAAGGCAAGCTGTCAAGGTATCCATTTCTTGATCCCCACATATACTGACTATTGGCAAATTACTCCCCAAAAACTTGCACCTTTTCTAATCTGTAATATCCCTTCTTACTTACTCACTCAGCTCCTGGGAGATATGCTGCTTGATCGATCGAATATGGTGGTGATGGTTCGGTATGTGAGCTCGTTGGATAACATGAGAATAATGATGAACCTTTTCAGAGTAAGCTCCTCTATCTCGCCCTCTCTCTCCCTCTCTCTCCCTCTCTCTCTCTCTCTCTCTCTCTCTCTCTCTCTACAATTTCTGGTATCCAAAATTTGATGATGCGCCAATTTTTGCCTTGTTGCTTGGGCAGGAAGAAAAGAAGTCGATACAGATGGAAGCTTTCCATGTGTTCAAGGTATAATTTTCAAATTTGATGGCTGACACCTCCATGCTTCTGTTTAAAGACACGATTCACATCTTCCCTCCATTTGATTCTACCTTAATTTGGCTGAGTCAGCATCGCCAAATAGAATTGTTATATGACAAAGTCACTGCATACGCATTTTATGCACCTCAAACTCGACCCAATTCTTCTCCAACTTGACCCCAGAGCCCGCAAAACCTGATTCCTAACCCATTTTAAAGTTCTCTTGGGAATGGTTGAGTTGGGTGCGTGAGGTGTTTACCGGGCGATTTTCGTGATAGTACGAGGTTTGTGTGGCATGCTCCAACTAACGTGCCATCGGATTGTTTTGTTGCCAGCTTCACGTAGTTTAGTTAGCATTCTGTGTTTTTCATTCAGTTTGGGGACTGTTTTGTTACAATCTCTATTATAATCTTGCGACCATTTAAGCATTTAACCACCTCTGTTTCTGCAGCTGTTTGTGGCAAACCAAAGCAAGCCTCCTGAGATCATTGGTGTGCTGATTCAGAACAAGAACAAGCTCCTCAGGTTCTTAGCTGGTTTAACAACTGAGAAAGGTGTGGCATGAACTTTAATTGTTTGAATCTAAGCAATCTCTCTCTTCCTTGGATTGCTTTGGGAATCGACCATGTTTAGCTTCTTAAGCATTGTTTGTTTGTTTGTTTTGCAGAGGATGAACAGTTTGAGGCAGACAAATCTCAAGTGATTAGGGAGATTGCAACCTTAGACACCAGAGAACGTGCAATCACTGATTCAGATAATGAAGCTGAATCCTAATCTGATAAGGATTTTACTCTGAACACATGATATGGAAACAGACTGACTAACATCAATCCTTCTTTCTTTCTAGGACTTGTCTCAATTCTCTGTTTGTTTCTTCCTTTTTTCCTTCTCCTCTAATTGCCTTTTTGTTTTAAAAAACACGGTAAACAACAGAGTTCATCACAGCAGATAGTGCTTGTATAAAGAATCAAAGACTACAACTACGCAAGTATTTCGTTTTAGTTTTCCCTTTTACCGGTCACATGAAGCACCGTGTCTTATTAACTGATTGTTTCATGATCCAATTAATATTTTCGTATTAAAATAGAAGAAATATGTGAATTAATGATTTTTATTTGGAAGAGTACTTTAAATCCAGAGCATCCGTAATTGGTAAGGTTCAATTTTTATTTTATTTTTCTTGTAGAAAGACGGTCGTTGAAGTGTTCTAATATCATTACCGACTACATGAGTTGGAGCAAATCCATTACATAAAAAAGGATCTATCTATTAAGGCACGAATTGCTCACATTGAATAGATATGTGACAAAATCTACACTATGGTCTTTGCTAGTTAAGTAAAATTGCATTCTCTTGTACATGGGAGATTTGAACTCTCCACTCGTAATTCCACAAATGCGAGCAAGGAAACCATTTCCCAAGCAATCATCAACCACTCACCGGCTCCTTTCACTTATGCCACAATAATTGAGCAGATTACCAGATTACAGAGGTAGACTTCAATACATTTTCCTAAATTGTTTCTGATCGGACCTCTTGCTGCTGCTCCTTCAATCTGATTGAATTTGTACCCAACCCTCGGAAGGCAACTTTCAGGCTAGCTCCATCTCTGTTCATTGTTTAAGAGGTGGCTTAGAACACTAGCTCCATTTTTATTAGATTGAGGTACGTGAAAGAACAAGTACTTTTACAAGTATGTTCTGTGTTCTTAACTAGAGCTAACCTAGTGAGATTACAGTTTACACTTTGCTTTTTATAATCCAGAGTCCAGACTATATATTTGGTAAAGATGGGCGTGGGTAAATGGTAGAAGAAAGAATCACATACAAAACAAATGGTCTCTATATATTATGTGACAAGATCTAAACTATAGGAGTACGTACAATCACTCAAACCATCAATCAAATCTCTCCCAAAATAGAATAGACGCTCTCTACAAACCAACGAGTCCTGTAAAACAAGCCCTTCCCACCATATAGTGTATAAACACTAAACTCGCAAGGACAGACCCAGAAAAGAAGAGAAACGAAGGAAAATTAAAAAAAAAAAAAAAAAAAAGTAGAAGGGAAAAAGGAAAATACACACTAATGGGGAGGGGCAACAAATGAATCATTCTCAAAAGGAAGAGGGTTTAGGCATGCTGCTGTGTCCTGTCACCATATCCATTTCCTCCATTCGCACCATTGGCATACTTATCAGCAGACCCAACAGCCCGCTTCTTCTTGATGACAATGAGCCATGTCACAGCTTCCCACACCAGAGCAGTGACCCCCAAGGAGATGATGACGCCGGTGTACGCGCTCTTCCACTTCTTCTCCGGGTTGAGGATGTCGAATCCCTCGTAGATGTTGGTGATGCTGAGGGCGATGGTCGCATACCCGATCGCGTAATGGTAGAAGTTCCAGTACACTCTGTACTTGTGGTCTGGCTTTGGCCTCAGCAGCATGGCAAACATCTGGTTCAACAGAACAAAACACACCAAGACGTTTCCTTCCGTTAGTATCTTGTTCATTACAATGAGAATGGGACAGTGCGTAATGGTAGCTAGCGTGAGCTTCAAGTAACTTTTTCTCCTAGCAATCATGTGATGAGGATATAATACACAAGAGCAGAATCCCCATTTTATCCCTCTCGTTTGAATTTTGACATGTGGAAGAGGCAAGTGGGGTTTTGCTTCTATTCAAAGATAATATATGCATGTTGCTTAGGTTAGGAAAAGTCAAGACATCGCAGTGGAAGGTTCATTCAGCGAAACAAATGTTGACCTTTTCAGGCATGTGCTAGAAAATTCAAACCAAGAACCAGTTGCTGCTATCATACCAACACCAATGCGCCGACCCCATCAGAAGATTGGACAGAAGGCAAAGATGAAATAAATGGTTGATGGTAGAGGGACACATTTGTAATCTTCTCATATGCTAGTCTAGATACCAAATCCAACAAGTTGAACAAAGAAAAGATTTGTAAAGGATTAGACTTTTTAGTTAGGTTTACCTGAAGGGTGCCAAAGCAGAAGAGGGTGATGCCAATGTTCCTGTGCTTGTTGTACTGAATTCCAACACTGTCACTGCCGAGTTTGAGACCCGTCCCCCAGCCAGCAACACCAATGATGTAGGCAGACAATTGGCAGGCAACATGGAGGTAAAACCATGCTGGGTTTGCTACGTGGAACACCTTCACGTACCTTGCTATCATGGCTCCACAAGGCATCAGAATTCCCCAACTCACTGCATTCAGAACTCCATGAATCTGCGCCAGAAAGATGGAACAGAAAAGGTCAACCTTCTATTCTAGAGCAAACTAGGATGCATACTCCTTATGGTTGTTAAGCTTGAACATTTCGCCAGGTTAATTAGCACTTCACTGTGTAAACCCAACGACTCAGAATCCACCACCATCACATGGACCAAATAGGAAACTTTTTTGTCTAAGAAAACTCGAATTTCTCGACCTTGAAGATCATTTACATAATCTTTTGAATGTCCGTAAAACCACATCAGAGATCCAACCAGTAAAGACCTCGAAAACTTTCAACATTCTCAGACCAGAAAGATCAAACTATGTGACTCTTTCTTATGTTTGAGGAACCATATCGAAAATGCGAATCAGTCAAACAAACATTTTTTTTTCCAAGTGACCCCTAGACTTTAAAGGCTCTCCATCTCAAGGCTCAAGGGCCGATATTAGACAATTTGAAAGTGCTTAACAGCGAAATTAAACCCTAATCATCAAACTAAATTTCAATCAGAGACAAAATCAGGGCAAAGGTGGGTGAAATTTTCCCAATATACTTACATTCCTCTTGCGGAGTCTTGAGTTACTGGCACCACCACCAGCAGTGGCAGCACCAGTCTGGAAATTAATGGTGCCAATCGACCTAACATTATCCCCAGTAGTGGAATGCATGGAAGGAGCCCCACTGGTCAAGGGGCCCTCTTGCCAAACCTGATTGGTCGACAACAAATTGGCATCCAGATGCAAAGTAGCAAAGATCAAAGTCTCCCCATTACTATGTTGAGCTCTGAGGTTGGAAACTCTAAAGCTCAAGGTCCCAGGCCTCATGGAAGGGCCCAAGGAGTCGATCGAAGTGGTGTAAGCAGTCATGGAGCCGTTGGGCTGCTGGAAAGCGACCAAAGCTTGGGAGCCAACCATTTGGCCTCCGCTAGGGTTCAGAGCCCAACAGACCCAGTTGGTGGGTGAAGTTCCAGTCTTTCTGAAGGCTATATCGGCGGTGGAGTTCTCTTGGTGGAATGTCCAGTGGAGATACGCGGTGAGAACTGGTAGATCTACGCAGGTTGAGTAGACTTGGTTGCTTGGTAAGGCCAAGCCGTTGCAGGTTTGGGCTTGGGACGGTGAGGTGAAGAAGGAAAGGAAGAGGAGGAACCCAGTAAAGATGAGAGCTCCAAGTGATTTACCCATGGCGGACACTTGGAAAAAAAGGATTGATCTTTATGGTTGTAAGAAGAGAGTAGCGAAATCTGAGAAATGGGTTCTGCTCAACTTTTCGCCCTGGTATTTGGGTTGTGTTCTCTTGAACGGCTCTCTCTCTCTCACCAAAGGGAATTGAGAGAGAATTGTGAGAATGAGATGAGAGGGGAAAAGGGAAATCAGAGGGGGGTTTTATAAAGGGCTGTTTGTTTCGAAATTTTTCTTGAGGGAATTCGGAAGTGGAGAGGAAATAGCAGTTGAATGCGATGGTGGCTTTGCTTGTTTGCTGCCGAGTTGTAGGAATTTGGAGGGGAAAGGTGGAAAGGTCAAGGGGGAAGAAATTTTGCAAACTGGGTCGTATTTTTCTTTTCCATTTTGTTTGTTTAACAGAAAATAAGAGGAAAGGAGAGTTGTGGGTTGTTGACTGGTTCTACTTCTACGTGTGGAGTTGGTTTGTAGAATACTAATACTAGAGTCTTTTTCTAGTTTTCTCTTTTAATGATGCATTAAACAAGTTCTTAATCCCAGAGTTTGGTTAAACGAAGATTAAATGCAGTAACGTGTGCCTGCCATGGGAAGGAAGGATGATGGGAGTTAAGTAGTTAACAAAATATCTAATGCATTTAATTAAATATTATTTTCCCCCTACGTTTCATAATTTCATTTGGGGAAGGGGACTGTCTTTGTCTGGTTTGCTTGTCCTGTAGAGTAAGATAACTTTTTTTATTATAAGTAGTAAAGAGATTATATGAAATTTCTTCATTCTTGATTTGTTGGGAATTTTACTTAGGCCAGCAGCAACTGGAGAATCATATTTGTTTGTGATATTGATTCGATGTTTTAACTTTCTTATTATTATTATTGAATTAGGTTATTGACATTAATATAGCATGGAAGATTCAATAGCATATAAATTAAAACATGTCCAATGTATGAAAAATCTGCTACAAAATCACATTTATATAATAAAAACATAAACGAGACAAGGATGGTAGTTGAATTACTACAAAATTATTTTATTAATCTAGTATTCTCATAATAACTTCGGTTGACATATGCTATGATTTTTATTTTTACATTGAGCATGAACTTCCCGAATGATAAATGTTAATTATGGCATTGCCTTTTACAAGAGAGATGTGTCAAGACCTAAGTGAGCATGCAAATGATGATTCAAATAGTGTCTTTCTGAAGGAAAACTATGTTTATTGTACTATATCTAATCATAAGTTAGAAATTTTGTTTTTATTCATTTCCTTCTAATATGATATTTTTTAAATTTTGTATTTTTTACATTTGTAGATTTTTCTATAATCCAAAAGTTTTGAGATGTGAGATCCTTTAAAATGAAAGTTTCATTAATCAGGATGAGATAGCATGACTACCATTAAAGTGGTTGGAAAAATGACACCCCATAATAATTATAGAATTTTAAGGTAATAAATTTGTGTTGCAGTTAATAATATATTCGAATTAAAAACTAATATTAATTACTTTAATTTTTTTTCCAGAGCAATGGTAGTTGAAAAAAAATTAATGTAATTAATATGAGTTTTTAATTCACAAAAGAACTATAATTAATATGGGTGTCATTTTTTTACCCTTAGAGAGTAGTCAAACTAACTCATCCCAATCATTATGAAAGAGTTGCTCATGGTTTTGCTCTCTAACAAAAGAGAAGTGTTTGGAGACACTTCAGATGTTTGGTTTTGTATTTTGTTCACCCAGAAATTTGTATATCCAATAGATCATGTTAACTCGTTCCTTCTGTGCAAAAATTTAAAAGAAGATACCATATGGTATAGAGTTGGTAACGAAAGATATGAATTTTTTTCTCAAAAAATAATAAAAATGGATATCGTTTTGTAGAGCACAACAAACTCCTTTCTATTTGTGTAAAAAAAATTGAAATCCAAATCAGAACGAAGAAGGTATGATCCGATTAAGAAAAGTAAAGGAAATAAAATGTAATTAATTCTCAACCGTTATATCTGCAGCCCACTTAAAATGAAGGGTCAATATTTGGTTACTCATTTTAAGCACCCTAACTTGAACCCTTTGTGTGGTAATTTACTCATCTATATTGAACAACATCACAATTCATCATAGAAACTTCTAGTTTATATGTTATTTGAGAAATTCTAATAAAATAAAAAGTCATGTTAGTAAGTTTATAATAATAAGGGTAAATATAATTTAATAGTCAAACCTTTCGTTTTAAACAAAATAATAGACAATCTTTTCAAAAGCAAAATAATAGCCTAATCGTTAACTTTCCATCCGGTCAAACGTTAGTTTACTACAGTGACGGATCCAGAAATTCTACATAGGGGTGTCCTCTTCAAAAATTAAATTAAAAATTAAAATTATATTAAATATGAAAATATCTGACTAATAAAAGTTACATTAAAAGTTCAGACATGTTTCGTAAAATGGTAAAATACATTCGGTGTCTATACTGCTCAACAATGATCTTTCGACATATCCTAGTAGAAAAGGGTATCCAGTAATTAAGTTTAATCGTTTGCTTTTAAAAATAATTTGGGATAAGAATAACATTTTGCTATTATATTTGGATCTAAAACACAATAACAAATGAGTTGTAGTGTGATTGAAAATATGTTTACTAATAGTGGCAGTGTCTCAAGTTTAAATCACATAAACTACTACTAAAATATTATTTGTACTAATATGCAAACTACTATGGGAGGTTGGATAATCGTTTTTCCAAATTTTAAGGGTGTCTCACTACCACTTAAACATTTTTCCCTCATATACAAACTACTATCGGAGGTTGAATAATCGTGTTTCCAAATTTTAGGGGTGTTCCGGGACACCCCTAGACATGCATGTATCCGCCCCTGGTTGACTATCATATGGCAAAATCTTGCTGTGGTGGCATGAATTTGATGACGTGACACAAAATCAAACATTTGGCTGTGCCACATGGATAATTATTAATTTTAACTAATTCTTATATTATTATGAAAAAAAAATTAAAAAATTATCGTATATCTTCTTTCCCTACCTCCCGCAACTCCATTAACCTAACAATCGAACCTACCTTTCCTCCAGCGAATCCCTGTCCTAAAACATATTTCTCTAACTCCTGGTTGTGTTAACCCCCAAAGCCAACCTTCCATGCACCAAACACTCTCACTGCGTTGCTTTTCCTTAGGAGTGCATATTTATTTTGCCTTAAAAATATCAATGTGTCATAATAATAAAAAAATCGATTGTTTTCCACGTCATTTCCAACTCAGCAAGTAAGTTGCCACATTAGAGTCAACTATCTGTTGACCGAACATAAAGTTGATGGTATGACTATTAAATAATTTTCGAAAAGGTTTGGCTATTGTTTTGTTTAAAACAAAATATTTGGCTATTGTTTTGTTTAAAACAAAATATTTGGCTATTATATTATATTTATTCTAATAATAAACTAGCTTCACATGTATCATTATATTATTATTTTGAATTTTTTTTTGTCTATTTGTGATATCATACTAAGTAAAATTCAGCTTAGCCCCTCGACGCACAATTCTTGGCTTCGCCCCTAACAACATCCAAACAATTGCCTCTTTTTGTGGCACGAGGCAAGGTTTGATGACATCAAAACAACCCTTGACATGTGGGTTTCCTATCAAGATACCGACAACATTCAATCAGTCTAACAGTCTCATTGCTGAATTTCCACTTCAAAATCTGACGGTGAAGTTTATCGCTATTATAGCCATAGTCTTATAGGAATTTTAGGAATAGTAACTTGTAGCTTGTATTATTGTGAAACCACAAAGGGGTTTGTATAGATTACAAGACTTGGACAATAAGTAAGAGAACCACAATACTAGAAGGGCACGGAAATATAAGATTATTCCTAATCTATCTCTAACACGCCCCCGCAAGATGATGGTGCGAAGAACAACATCAATCTTGACCAAAATACGCCAATCTTGAAGAACACGCCCCTGCAATGTGATGGTGTAGAAGGTGCAAACTCGTCGAATTCTTGTGCTTGAAGAACGAAGCCAATTAACCGTCGTCTTGGAGAAGAAGAAATCATCAAACTTGCAATTCATATGTTGGAACCAACTCACTCGTCGTCAAAATTTGACCAGAAACGAGATGAAGATTAATAAATTGGTTTTGAAACGTAAACTGGTGTAGGACACGAGGCACTCATCCGAATGACCGTTGTCGGAGAAGCTTTCTTCGTTCCATACACGTGAAGAAGAGATGGTTGGAGGATGACCGTGGCTCCACCATATAATTCTGCAACAATCTTAAAATAAGATAAGAACAATAACGTCGGCTATAAAAACTGGATCTTGATATCCAAGGACAAGGCAGCAGGGAACGATCCACGAAGAACAAAACAATCAGCAGAATCTGCAACAAAAATTAACGATTATGTGAGGGTACAACTTCAAGTTGTAAAGTTGTACCGTAACATAATGGTACAAATTGCTTTATGGTACAACCTAAACTTATACATTTAATGTTATGGTACAACTTTAAGTTGTACATTAAAGCACCAATACTATATAGCATAGTAGAAGTGCTCTTATAATATGTGATTGAGGAATGGTTTGGGGACTGGTATCTGGAGGTCGGGCTTGGGCGCTGATGGGGACGTGGGAGTGGGGAAACCATTAGGAATTTATTGAGTAAAAATCTAATAAAGATTAACTAGGACCACGGGAAGGAAAAACAATAGGTATAAACTAGTAATAGGGATTAGGGAATGCAAGAGGACTAATGAGCGGAAGGGAAAAAGCGATCGGGTGAGTGCGGGCTCATCCCTCCGGTGAAGGGAGGGAAAAAAAGGTTAAGGGTTCCTGGATCAGTAGGCTGTTAAGCAAGAGGTTCTAATACCATATAGGAGTTTTAGGAATAGTAACTTGTAGCTTGTATTATTATGAAACCACAAAGTGGTTTATATAGATTACAAGACTTGGACAATAAGTAAGAGAGCCACAATACTAGAAGGAAACGAAAACACTAAGAACTATACTAAAAGTACAAGGAAATATAAAATTATTTCTAATTTATTTCCAAGTAGTCTTACAATTTTACTCAACAAATTTGTACTAATCAACACTTAACAAAATCACATATACAAAATAGATTTTTTTATCCATTAAGCACGAATTTCATGCTAGTTATGTTAGTACATTGGTTGGACTTGGATTATTTCTAGACTTCTGGAATCCTTTCTCTCTCTCTATGAGAGAACAAAAAATTAGTTGATCCATGTTTCAACCACTCCTCCATGTTCACACGTGCTTTGTTCAATGACCTGGTCTGTAGTTGTTACTTTGATTGTGGTTCAAGAACAAAAGACCAGAATTTCGGCTTTGAATGAATATATAAATGAAAAAATATTAATTAGTTGATGACTTTTTTTTAGCACATTAGTTTATGACTTTGAAAATATATATATAAGTAAAAGGAGAAATGGGCCAT